TGAATTAATACCAAAACGTTTCCCAATTAAGCTCTGTTACTAATTTTAGTAGGTTTAGAGGTATTGACACATGTAGAAACAAATAGAGTAATTTTATTTAAAATGTTGTGGAATCAGGAAGGAGAAAGAATCAGTACCTGTGACTATGAAGCTAATATAATTCTGCAGATGAAAAAGTTGATTGAAAGTTATCTAACTACATGATACATGTAAGAAACTCACTTTAGATCCAAAGATACAAATAGATTGAAAGTGAAAAGACATATAAAGCTACTCTATGGAACTAGTAACCAAAAGAGAGCAGGGTGGCTATACTAATATCAGATGAAACTGACTTTAAATCAAAAAGTTTTACAAGAGACGAAGGACATTAAATACTAATAAAAGGTTTAATACAGCTAAGATACAACAATTATAAATATTTACACAGCTAATAAAAGACCATTAAAACAAATGAAGCAAAATACTGACAGAATTAAAAGGATAAACAGTTCTACATTAATAGTTAAGACTTTAATATCCCAATCTCAATAATGAATAGAATAGCCATACAGAAGATAAGGAAAAAGAGGACTTAATATACCAACTGGATCCAACAGATATATACAGAATACTCTACCCAAAAATAATAGGAAACACATTCTTCTTAACCCCACATGGGACATTTTCCATGAGAGACCATATGTTAGGCCAAATAACTCCTGAAAGATTTAAAAAGATAGATATTATTTAAATTATTTTCTGACCACAATGGAATGAAGTTAAAATCACCAGAAGTAAACCTGGAAAATTCACAAACCTGCGAAAATTAAACAACTCTCTCTTAACAGCTATAGATGCTTACATTAAAAAATAAGATAGATCTCAAATCAATAACCTAGAGTAACCTTATTCTTAAATGAGAATAAGAACAAACTAAACCCAAGGTAACCAGAAGGAAATAAAAATCACAGCAGAGATCAATAAAACTGAAAACAGAAAAATAGAGAAATTCAGTGAAAAAAAAGTTGGTTCTTTGACAAAATCAACAAAATTGACAAATCTTTAGCTAGGAAGGTGAACTAAGAAAGATTCAAATGAGTAAAATTGGAAGTTAAAATTGGAACATTACCAATTCTACAGAAATAAAAAGGATTGAGTATTACAGACAACGGCACAAACTGAATAATAACCTAGACAAAATGGACAAATTCCTAAAAACAAAAAACCTACCAAGACTAAATCACAAAGAAAAAGAAAGTGTGAATAGACTTTAACTAGCAGGAGACTACTTTGTAATAAAAAAATCTAACAAAGAAAAGTCCTGGACCTGATGGCTTCACCAGTGAATTCCACCAAACATTTAAAGAAATAACATCAATTCATCAAAGAGGGAACACTTCCTTCCTAACTCATTTAATAAGGCCAATGTCCTGCTGATACCAACGTCCCCGATACCAATGCCAAAAAAGGACACTACAAGAAAACTGGAGACAAATACCTGTTATGAACACTGATGCAAAAATTCTTAACAAAATACTAGAAAACAAATTGAGCAGTATACTGGAAGGATTATATACCATTACCAATGGGACACATTTCCTGGGATGCAAGGACGGTTCAATATATAAAAATCAATCAATGTATCATACACTGACAGAATGAAGGGAAAATAACACATAATCATCACAATTACTGTAGAAAAGGCATCTTGCAAAATTCAACAAACTTTTATGATAGAAGTACTCAACAAATTAGGAATAGAAGGAAACTACCTCAACATAATAATAGCCACTTATGAGAAACCCATAGCTAACACCACACTCAATGCTGACAGACTGAAATCCTCTTCTCTAAGATCAGGAATAAGACAAGGGTACCTGACTTAGCCACTTTTATTCAATTTCACACTGGATAACTTTGGGAGGTTCAAGATTGCTGTGGAGGAAGTAACTACAGACATGGTGGAAACAGCATGAGAAACAGAATTAGGAGTGAAACCTGAAGATGTATCTGAATTGCTGCAATCTCATGATAAAATTGAATGGACAAGGAGCTGCTTACAATGGATGAACAAAGAAAGTGGTTCCTTGAGAGGGAATCCACTCCTCGTGAAGATGCTGTGAAAACTGTTGAAATGACAACCAAGGATTTAGAACATTACATAAACTTAGTTGGTAAAGCATTACGGGGTTTGAGAGTATTGACTCCAACAGTGAAAGAAGATCTACTATGGGTAAATGCCATCAAATAGCATTGATGCTACAGAGAAATCATTCATGAAAGGAAGAGTCAATCGATGCAGCAAACTTCACTGTTGTCGTATTTGAAAATACTGCCACAGCCACTCCAACCCTCAGCAACTATCACCCTGATCAATCAACAGCCATGAACAGTGAGGCAAGACCCTCCCCTCCACATACGTAGTCACATCAGTACTATTCAAACAGGTAAAACATGGTATCAACCCAAGTGTCCACCAACAGACTGGCAAAACATATATACAATGGATCACTAGCCTTAAAAAGGAAGGAAATTCTGTAATGTGCTACAATATGGATGAAACTTGAAGGTACTATGCTAACGGAAATAAACTAGTCACAAAAAGACAAATACCATGATTCCACTTACAAGAGGTACTGAGAATGGTCAAAATCATGCAGAAAGAAAGTAGAATCACCAGCCAAGGGCTGGCGAGAGTTACTGTTTAATGGGTATAGAATTTCAATTTTAGAAGATGGAAATGGATGGAGTAATGGTTCATTGTGAATGTTTTAAATAACACTGAACTGTACACTTAAAAATGGTTAAGATGCTAAATTTTATGTTATGTGTATTTTATCATAATAAAAAATTACAGAAAAAGGCATATTAAAGTATCCAATAAAATTCAACTTCTATCCAAAAAACAACAAACACTTTTATTTGGATTCTGTATATTAAAAATACACAAAAATATCCAAAATCCACACTAAATATGAAGCCTTTTGTAAAGCTTATGTAAGAACGAACAAAACTCGTACCTTTACTACAGCTGTTGTCACCATCTGATTTTTCTGCCACAGGCTCTAAAGTAGGTTCTTTGTGTTCAATTTTTTCCTCCACTTTCTCCCTTTCTTTCTTCTCCAACTCACACTCCTTTTCCTGTTCCTGCATCTTCTGCAGGTCGTTTTCCTTTTCCTGCTGCCGTTCTAGTTCTTTCTCTTTTTCTTGCTTTCTTTCCTTCTCCATTTCTCTTTGTTTTTCCTGCTCTTGTTCCAGTTCTTTTTCCTTCTCCCGCTGTCTTTCCCTTTCTTTTTCCCTCTCCTTCTCTCGCTCCCGTTCTTGTTCTTTTTCGAGTTCTTTCTCCCGCTCCCGCTCTTTCTCTCGCTCTCTTTCTCTAATTTCCTCTGGAGTTGGCTGTTTGTCCACTATGCCCAGCTTTTCATCCAGTCGCTTCAGTTTCTCCGCACAAGCTGCTTTCCTCTGCTCTTCCATCCTTCGCTCCTCCTCCTCACGTCGCTTACGCGCACGTTCCACTGCTGCGGAGAGTTCTGACTGTTGTCTTCTTCTTTGCTTCCATATTTCATCTTCATCCGGGACTTGCTGCTTCGGGGGGAAAGGGCCTGGTCTTCCAGGTACTGCCTGTCGGTCTGGGGGAGGATGCTGAAACATTAAGTGAAATCATCAGATGAGTATGACAACACTGGGTATTACAGACGTGGAGAAGGAGGAAAACTCTCCACAAAATGTCAGAAAAATACAGATTAAAATGCAAACAGGTAACAATGTGGAGAAAACAGTAAATCTACATAAGTCTCTAGAATAATTAATCCAGCCATCTAATATTTACTGAGTGTGTACCTATTTACTGTGCCAGACGTTACTGCTCACTCAGCATTTGTTGAATAAAATTAGAAGTTGTCAGAACATGAATTTCATAATCTAAATTTAGAGACAAAAGAAATTAAGAATATGAGTGCTTTAGCAGCAACTGCCAGAGATGGAATGCCTAGAGAGGGAGAAAAGAAGTCCATAAAGATGCAAAATGACGGGGAGGGTATAGCTCAAGTGGTAGAGTGTGTGCTTAGCATGCATGAGGTCCTGGGTTCAGTCCCCCATACCTCCTCTAAAAATAAATAAACCTAATTGCCTCCTTCCCCTCCTCAAAAACAAACAAACAAAAATCTAAACTAAAATAAAGAAGAAAAAAAAAGATGCAACATGGCACCACATGAGCCCTGAGAACTGAGGTACAGTTACAAGGAAAGACCAGAAGGCCAAAGCTAAGGGAAGAAGTGGAGACGCTGCGGCTGCTGCCACGCCCAAGAGGAAATTCCTACAGATCAGCCTAGGTAAAGAGAGGGGTGTCTTTATTTTTACTTTATTGTTTTTAAACAACTTTATTGTGGTGTAATTTCTGTACAGTTAAACTACACATATTTCAGATATACAATTTGATGTATTTTGATAGATGTATACACCTACAAAACCACCACCACAATGAAGACAGCTAACAATTCCAACATATCTGGAAAGGGCTATCTAGATCCCATAGTGGACTACGGGAAGATCACCTGAGAGACTGGGTTTTAATGATTCAATTTTCAATTAATGTGTTCTAAAACAATTCTAAAATCACTGCCAGCAACTATGCAAAGACATGCAGAATGAACAAAGCACATGAAGGGCTCAAACATCAAGTAACTAAAAAATCTGTTTAGAAGACATTGGTTTTAACAGCTACTAGGGTGAAGAAACTTTGAAAGCCCTATAATAGTCGGAATCCTTGTAAAAAGAAAATAATGTTATGATGAAAACACTGGACTGAATACTTACAAAAAAACCCCATGGATCCAGATTCTACCATTCATTAACAGTGCTGTCTTTAGGCAAACTGCTTAATCTCTCTGGTGTTCTGCTACATCACCTACAGCTCGAAGACAAGCTGCAAAAACAACTAAATCAAAGTACCTAATTTATACCGTAAACTCATAGTATAAGCATTTTTTAAAAGCAACTTCATTGAAGTGTAGTTTACATAAAATGTGATGTATGTATTTTAACTGTATAGTTTGATGAGTTTGTACAAACGATACATTTATGAAACTACTGCTCCAATCAGTATAGAGCATTTTCATCAGTCCTGTGCCTGAACCCCTGGTCCCAGGCAACCGGCCTTTCCCAGAATTTCATATAAATGCATACATCAAATTACATTCCCTTTTGTATCTGGCTTTTTGTGCTCAGGGTAATGGTTCTGAAGTCACTGCGTTTATCAGTGGCTTGCTCCATTCTATTGCTGGATGGTCTTCTATCATAGGCATATATCATTTCATATGTGGATGGGCATGGGGACTGCTTCTAGTTTTTAATTTTTATTTTTTTTTTAATAAATATTTTTAATGATGTTTTTTCTTTTTTCTTTATGGGGGGGGGCATAATTGGGTTTATTTATTTATATTTGGAGGCGTTAGTGGGGCTTGAACCCAGGACCTCGGGCATGCTAAGCATGCACTCTACCACTGAGCTATACCCTCCCCCACTCTAATTTTTTAACTAGGAGTAAAACAGCTATGGGCATTTATACTTAAGCCTCTGTGTAAATGTGCATTTTCATTTCTCTCGGATAAATACCTATAGCAAGTGTATGTTTTACTATATGAGAAAATGTCAAACTATGTTTCAAAGTGATTACAAGGTTTTACAGCCCCACCAGCAATGTGTGAGGGTGTTAGCTGTTCTACACCCTTGCCAACATTTGGTGTCATCAGCCTGTCAAAGTTTGGATGTGTAACAAAAATTTCATTGTTGTTTTAATTTGCATTTTCCTGGTGACTAAAGATACTGAATATCTTTTCATGTGCTTACTAGCCATTTGTATGTCTTATTTTGTGAAGTGAATGTTCAAATCATTTTGCAGGGCTATTTGTCTTATTACTGAGTTGTAATTATATCTCCCAATATAAGTTCTTTGTCAGGCATATGAATAATATATTTCTGTAACGTATCTTTCCCTTAGAGATGTTTTTCAAAGTCCAACTGATCAATTTCTTTTTTATTTCTAATTCATGGCTTTTGTGTCTTATTCAAGATCTTCATTAAAAAAGACGTTTTCTGCTAAATGTTTTAGTTTTAGCTTATATGTGTATAGAAATGCATTCAGTGGTGGAGATGACAGTGATGTGGTATGTGCACCTCTCACAGTAGAGTGATCAGGGAAGCTTGTTAAGTGGTGATATCTGAGCAAAGAACTTGGCCACAGGAAGAATCTCAGGGAGAGTCTTCTAAGTTACAGGAAACAGCAAATAAAATGTCTTGAAGGTAAAATAAAAACAGTAGCAATAAAGCTTGTGTGGCAAGAACAAAGAGGAAGAAAAGCAGATGAAATCAGAAAAGTAGAAAGGGACCTTAAAGATCATGAAAAGAGCCTGAGCAAAGAATGACTGACCTAATAAATACATAAATTTAAACAGTTATATCTACTATAGGAGAATTGTGGATAGAGGTGGTGAGTGGGCAGGCAGCAAAGAGGGGAAAACCAGAAGACCTATTAGGAATCTACAGCAACAGTCTAAATGAAATATATCATATGGTAGCAAGTGCTCAGTGTAAGAATATATTTTAAAGGTAGAGGTGACATAATTTGTTGATAGATTAGGCTAGATACGTAAAGTAAAAAAGAAGGAAGATATAAGAGTGACTTTCAGGTTTTAATCTGAGCAATGTTATTACCTGAGATAGGGAAGATGGGGAAAAAAGTGGCAGAACTGAGGAAGTGTGGCAGAAGTGTGGGAGTGGGGGGTTTGTTATGGTTTAAGCATACTAAACCACAACAGATTATCTTTCAGAGATCCAAGTGGAAATGTTGAGCTGATTGTTGAATACATGACTTTTTTCAGGGTAGAGTTTTAAGGGCTCGAGATATACGTTGAATGCCACCAGATGAGATCCCCTAGGGAAAGGATATAGTTAGAAAAAGGAATGAGACCACAGTCCTGTGCCCTCCAACACCCAAGGGCCAGTAGGAGGTCCAGAAGGAATATAAATTGAAGAAAGAGAACAAAATAGTGTGCTGTCTCAAAAGCAGGTTTTAAAAAAGTGTTTTAAGGAGGATAGAAGGATGAAGAGATTATGTGAACTACTGCTGAGATTAAGTAAATGAAGACAAGAGAACGGTATTTGGCAAGACAGAACAGTTATTATTCTTGATAATAGTAACTGACCTTGATAATAACAGTTTCAAAGGTACAGTGGAAGATGAAAACATAACTGGAGAGGGTTAATAAGAGAGAAGGTGAAGGCAGTAAGTGTGGATAGTTCACTAAACATTTTGCCATGAAAGGGAACAGAGATATAGGGAGGAAACAGCAGAGGGAGGAGGGTAGTGGGAATTAAAGAAGGGTTGGTTTTTCTTAAACTTTTTTTTTTTTTTAAGATGAGAGAGATTACCAGAAAGTGACAGAAGATGGGATCCAGGGAACAAACAGAAGGGTTGTCCTCAGCAGCAAGGACAACAGGAAGAAAGTCGGAACAGGAAGGGCATTTAAATGGGAAGAACAAATGCTTCTTATTTCCTTAGAACAATCAGGAGTATGCTCATCAGCTGAGAATCAAGAGGGACTCGTTAAAGAGGAAGAATCGCAGGAGCTACATGGTAAAGTCAGTAAGTGTTTCATGAAAATTATAAATAAGTAACACATACAGAATCTATCCATTAAAACAAATAAGCAAATAATACATATAGACCATGAACAAGCATTTAGTTAAGATTTACCTGCTGCGCAAGCAACTTTGGAGGTGGTGGCAAGTGTGAGGACGGCCCACGATCCTATTATAAAGAAGAATTTTTTACAAAGTAAGACAAAAGGCATCTACTTGAAAAATTTCTGAATGTACTATTTTTCAGTGAGAACACAAGATCGTAAGAAGTAAACCATCTTTATTCTTATCCCCCTTTTAATAAAAGCCTATCACTCACTGCAAGATAACCTTACATTCCATATAATCCCTCAGCCATTTCAGTAAAGTCACAACCTCAAATTATCTTTGTTAAGAGTAGAATCTTAGCGTTCAAATTCTAACTCTAGCCCAAGTAATTTGGCCGTGAAGAAGTATACCTCTAATTTCATATTTTTATTTATGTAAGCCTTATTATTTTTATGGATTTTTTTAAAATGGCAAACTAGAACTGTGAGGTCTATATAAAGAAAAGAAACAGCTAAAACGTTGGAACCAGATATAAAATATGAAATAGTCACTCACTAATATATGTATCAGTAACATACACATGAATCAAAACATCAAGACATGGTCTTTGATGTTTCTGTTTCCTTTTATCATTCCCCATAATGCTAAGTTAAAAGTCACACAAAACACATTTTTCTTAAGAAGTTACTATTAATATCCTTCTTCAGAATTCAAATTCATTTTCCAACGGCTAACCAATACCTTGTACAGCATACAAGGCTTAAGAAGTACTAGTTCTCACATAGCGATCTGATTCCTTTCCCACATCAAATTACTGGGGACTTGAATGGGCCGTGCTTTTCCACTTCTCTACTCTAAACATGTTCCCACTGCTTGGAATCTCTGTCTTTCCTTTGTTTACTGGTTAATTCCTGCTTCAAGTATGAAGTCTTTAGTGAAATTTTTTACACAGAATTTTCTTTGCACATGCTATCACAGCACTTACAACACTGTAACGTAAAAGATGCTTGCTGTCTTTTTTTCCTCTTTTTTTTTTTTTTCACTGAGACTGTTACCTACTTACTTTTACCTCCCTGCAGGCACTGACTCCTCCATCTGTTCTGTATGAATTCAACAAATACGCTCAGTATACTATGAGGAGGCTCTCCGGAAGGTAGCCCTTTGTAATTCTCACTCTGCAATGCAGTTCTTGCTACATCTTAGAAGTAAGGATCAAGTGTTATCTGTTGCCCACATAACCTCCCTTCTTTAACAACACTCTTCAAAATGGCTCAGGCTTCATAGATTTCTCTACTTTCTAGTATGATTTCCCTGCTCAGACAGCATAGTTTCACACATGAATATTAGGATTTACAAAGCACTCAGTAAAGCCACAAAGCACTTCAGCTATGTTAGTTTGGAAAAACAATTTCTCTCTCCACTCTGACATAACCAAGTTGTTACAGAGGGGAGGGGGAATGTAACTTCAGTTTCTACTTGACAATTGTAGCTACTGCATTGATAATTCCTGTTAGTATGCAATAAAAATGTGGCTTAGGTCTAGAGCTGTTTAAAGAAAAACATATGTATTCCTTTTTCCTAAGTTTTTTTCCAACTTTATGAGAGTAATTCACCCTCGTCACTTGTCTGCAGTGACAAGGATCTCCATGTGTTCAACAAACCTGATTAAATGAAGGTCCTTTCCCATAGGGACCTTTTGCTACTGATGGCTGGGCAGGTATCTGAGAAGATGACTTAGTGTTGCAAACTTCATCTGCTTCTTTTCGGTTTTCAGTGTTTTCAGAGGCTTTTGAACCTTGATCCTCACTGAAGAATCAAAATCCAGGTGAAATAAAAAGTACAGTGGATGGACAGTCATACGTAAGTAAATGCATTTTCTCAGTGTAAAAAAGACATTATTTCCATATGGTTTCAGGGGGAAAATGTATCACGGAATGAGACTGTTTTGTACCCTAGTGATGCTAATTCACTCATTCAAGAAATACATGCTAAATGCCTATGATGTGATAGGGATCGGGCTTGGCCACGAGACAGAAGATGCAATATAGTACTTGTCAAACATGAATACTCATACTTGACACACAATATGATCCCGCCATTTTCTATTACCCCCACCCAAAACTCTCATCTGAAAGAAACTGAGTAATATTTCAGGAAATTAATTAATAAATGTATTCTAATTTACTCTAATCTGTTCTGATTTAATGAAAAAGAGAAATCATACTACAGTATTTTTAAGTCACAACAAATCACAGGCATCTCACAACTGATCACGAAACAGCAACACATTACAACACTGTGGCTGAAAAACTATACCAACATAAGCATGCAAGCTCTTGTGTACTTTAAGAGCCCAACTTTTATGCTTCATAACCCACATATTCCTTACTCTGATGCCCCTGTATTCCAGAAAAGAAAGAGGAAAAGCTACCATTTTCTAAGGCTTTAATGCTCCTTTTTAAGCTTAGAAAATCAAAGACTTGAAGCAGCTGGGAACCCAAGTAATTTTTCTCCAACTGATCATGTCTAGCAAGTAACAAGTTTTAACTGGTCCCTGATACTGTCTCTCAAAATATTTCCAATTAGATGACAAGCATCGAAATATCTTCGTTTGTAAAAACAAAGTATTTTCTTTAGAAACATTAAACTCATAATTCTTTGATTATCTGTACTTTAAAAATTTGGCTCATTTATCACCTTTTCACTCAGTGAAAGTCTTCAGAGTAGAATGTGGAAATTCTATCAAAGGGGAACAAATAACTATTAATGAAGCCTCTCTGCATACATGGCTCATGTTACATCAACAAATTCACCCTATTATTAGTAAAAGACACCATAACAACTTACCTGCTGTTTTCTTTCGGACTACTACTTCCCTGCTCATCGTCATCACTGAAATTCAGCTGTTCCGTATAATCTACCTCCATCTGAGCACCTATTAAATTAAGGAGAACTCAGATTGACTGTTTCAAAGCATCTAAAAAAAAGTGCTTAATTAAGTTTGCCTCTTACCTGCCCAACCTTCATCAGCTTCAGCATCTAGGTTATCAAATTTATCAAGCTCCTTAAGCTCTGATGCACTAAGGATGGAGGGGCGTTCAGGCTCAGAGGCCCATGAAGGAGGTGGGCCTCTTCCTCGAAGGCTTCTAACCAATGACAGGTTATGAGGGAAAAGGATACAAAGTTTTAATGATACTAAATTAGGAAAATATTTAAAGATCTGAATTTAGTTCATTTCAATATTAGTGCTTTCTACACTGTGATTTAAAAATACTTGACACTTGACGTGTATGAAACGATTATAAAATACATAAATTTACAATATATAATGTATTTCTTATGCAAATATTTAATAGACAAAGTTTTCAAACATTTCAAATAAAACAAATATATGTTAAATAATATGGCTAAGACTAATACTAATCTCAAAATAAAGAACCTGAAGAAGAACCATCATTCAGGAGGATGCTCAAGTCTTATATTAAGCAAAATAAAAGAGAGAATGGTGGGTTATCAACATCGTGGAAGGAAGAAGTGATAAATATCATCAATTTTAGGGCCATAACTTTCATTTTTCAAAATTTTATGTAACTGATTTAAAGTTTTGGAAGAATAAAGTATTTCTGTTCTGTCTTCCAATAGTTAGCTAATTAGTTGTTCACAGCAGCTGTATCTTGAGGACAGAGTAATAAATCACCATAATCTACTCAACCTCCAGAAAATCTTAACTAGCATACATATATACCTTGCAGACTTCAATCATTTAATAGTCTTACTTGTTTGTTTCAGATAAAGAAGGCGGAAACCTCATGGGACCATGCAGAGGAGGATAGGCCATCCTTGGATACTGCTGAAACATCTAGATAAAGGAAACAAAGTTGATAAATTTAGCTACCCAGTTATTAAAAAATGGATCACCTTGACTAAGCCTGAAATTACAATTTACAGAAATAATTAAAATAAACAGTACTGTGAATGACTAATTTCTTCTACTGGCATAGATCATCATTCACCCTCAATAACAAGCTAACAAGTAATACTGCCACCTCCACCGAGTCATTACAAATGAGATAATAACTAGAACATACATATGAAGAACTTCTTTTATCCTATCAACAAAGTTACATAAAAATGACTGTGTACTGAAAAGAAAAACTAAAAAATGACTACAAGCATGCACTCCAGAAAACTGCAAAGTTTTCTTAACCAAGTTCAAATACTTGAAATAATCTGAGACCTCATCCTAATGTAAGAGTAGACTAACTAACTGAAAGTACATTTGCTGGTAAAGAGGAACTCATGTCAGACGAAAGGATAGTCCATAAACCAAGGAAGTTGAAGGAGGTGGGTAGGGAGTTATCTGGGAGATTTTCTATGGGATTTTCTATGGAGCATAGGTGGATTCTGAGTCAAGTTAGTACACAGACAGTAATATACTGTGGTCCAAAGATGATGCTCTCCGTGGGAACTTAGCTTTGAGAAGCTGAGTTTAGGAGAATCAATAAGATAGATTATTAAGATAAATACTAATTCTAAGGGATTCATCCTATGATTTGGAAGGGAAGAAATGTCAAGGAGCACTTGGTTAGTTACCGTCTGCTCATATCCAGGTCAAATAAGGGAAGGGAGGGGAAGAAGAAATTGTATTATCTTAAATACATAATTTATATACTGAAATAGATTAATTTTTCTTTAAAAAAACTTTTAAATGAGGAAATTATATTTGTAGGAAGGTTATGTTTATACGATTGTGCTATGTAAAGAAGAAATTTCTAAGTAGGGCTGGAGCAAAATTAAGCAGCAGCTGAAATTCAACTGGAGAAGCTTTTTGTTTGGGGATACTCCGGAGAATTTCTGGTTGCATCACACTTCTACACTGAAATCAGCATATATACTACAGGAGGCAACTGTTCATGGGTTAAATTGCATTAGATCCTTCTGATTATTCATGCAGAGATTAACTTCATGTGGTATTACATGTTTAAAATTTAGAAATCTGCTACAGAATTAACTGCAAAAATAATCTAATATTATTAGTGGTTTTTGAAACGTTTTTGTTTTTAACTAGTACAAAACTATTCAAATAGATTTACTGATGAAGCTGGGAACAAAGCACACTTGATCTCCCAACTTACTTTCCCTTAGCCTATCCCACCCCTACACCTGGAAATTCAGTGATCTTTGGAAGCACAATTTGAAAATTATTAGGAGATAAGTAGTTGGGTATAAACTATTTTTCAAGGTCAGGTTAGTATATAAGATTGATTTTTATCATATACCCCAATTTTTGAAAGAACATATTTAACAGTTGTATTTAATCATTCATTTCCCTCCTCTACCTTAGAATGGTTCATAATAATACAAAGAAAAAATAGAAAATACGGATTGCTAGAACTTGAATACTTAGAAGTTAAGTCATAAGAAAAATAAATGTAAGAATTGGATTGTTCTTCCCTTTGAAAGTAAAGGTCTTCTGAAAGATGTAAATTTACTTGAGCGCATGTAACTTGCCATGTAATTTCAGAGTAGAGCAAACAACTGAATGAGGGAACCAAATCTAACTACTATTTTATAGGAGACATAGGAGTCAGAAGTATGTATTAGATGAAACTACAAAGATGGAATCAGCAAAATCCAGACTATGAGAAATTCCACAGGATAGCAAATGAATTATAACAGGTAAGCACTGAAGAAAATAAGAGATGGGAGGGAAAGAGGTATCCATAAACAACAAGATTCCTAAGAAAAATATCAACTGATCTCAAGGAATAGATGTATCAGGATCCTAAATGTGAGATAATCAGGGAAACTGGAATAACTTGGTATTTTAAAAAGAATTTTCTTTTTAGGTGATAATGGTACTGTGGACTTCCCCCCTAATCTTCATTTTTTAAAGTGAAAACTAAAATATATATGATGCATATAAATGATATACCTAGGATTTGTTTAGTAACCCCAGGTGGTAGGAAAGAGGTGAAACAAGACTGATCACAAATTGGTAACTTTCGAAGATGTACAGTAGATATGGGAGGTTCATTGTTTTATTTCTATTGTTGCATATATTAAAAATATTCCATAATGTAAAGTTTAAAAAAATTAAAAGTATATTAATAAAATCTTCAGAACTAAAGCAGGTATTAACCTTTTTTGTGCTATGAACAACCCCCTTAGGTAGTCTGGTAAATCCTATGGACTCTTCTCATAGAAAAATGCTTTAAAATGAATAATCAAAAACACAGCATTACAAAGGAAAACAATTATACTAAAATTCTGTTACCATAATACTTAAAAAACAAACTTGCGATACAGCAATAATGTATGTGCTTCATTAGCTGACAGGTCATGAAATAACACTAATAAGTATTCTGAAGTAACACTGAACATAAACAACATCTGCAATACCTAAAAACAATGCAACATGATATGAAAATACCTATGATTCCTTATTAAGAATAAAAACAAAAGTACTGCTGATACTTTATGATTCCTAAATTCAAAATCAAAGAAAATGCCAATTTTTAGTCAGATGTTAATGAAAATGAGGACCTAAACCTTTGTCCATTCCAATTCTTTCCTTTGACCCAGGTCAAAAACCTCTTATTTAACCACTTGCTGATGTAACAATACTCACATAAGGAGGCATCACAGCTCTGTATTGGGAAGCTAGGGCAGGCTGCTGTCCATTCAGTTTAGCCTGTGGAGGACCACAAGCTATCCTCTTTTCCACCACTTTGAGGATATCATTTTGCTCTGATGTTCCAGCTGTGCTTTCATCCTGGCCAGGCTTTTCATCTTGGTCAGATGTTACAGGTGTACCAGCAGACTTACCACCATCTCTCCAACAAGCAACATCTGGTATGAAGAGAGAGAAAGAATAAGAAAAAAATCTGAAAATGGAACAGAGTGAAACCTAACTAGGCATATTTCAAGTATATTTAAGCAAGAAAGCATAGTGAAGGAACAGCGAAAGTCTAATCTAGGCTGTACTAGAAATCTAGGCTTTGAAGGTGTTTAGGTAGTCAAGAGTAGTGGCTTCCAAAGCAGAGAGGATGTACCTCAGAGGGTACCACCAAAAACAAATACTGGGGTTGGGGAAGAAAATACGAGAACTTCCCTAATAAGCTTGACCAATTTTTGGTATAGAGATTAAAATCACTGTGATACCTGAGGTGCCCTGAGGGGAGGGGAGAGGAGTTCTATAACCCAGAAAGGCTGACAGTAATGTTCTCATTCATTTTCAGTCTACTATTGCTAGTTCAAGTGCCCAAGTGAGCAGACTTTGTAACTGTATTATCTGATTCAGCTATCTAACCAAATAAAACAGATTAATGATTTTACAAGGAAACCCTGTTTGGTCCAAATGGTCTCTATCTCCTGGTATTCACACTCTGTGTAGTCCCCTCTCAGCAGTGTACCAGGGATGGTCTGTGTAACCTGTAGAATAAGGAAGAAGTGTTGGCGTATCTCCTCTAAGAATATACTATGAAAGCCTAGGGGTTTCCATCTTGGTGGGAAATTGTCTGTCTTTCCTTATTTTTTCTGAGGAAGCCATGTTGTAAGCAGCTCACACATAAATGAGACACCATGAGTGGGCTTGAAACAGCAGCCCCAGTGAAGTCAGCATCAAATGACAGTTTCACAGCAATTTTGTTAAGAGTTCCTGAGCCAGAAACCCCATCTAAGGGGCTGCCAGATTCCTGACCCTACGATATCACATGAAATGGTAAGTCCAATTCAGTTTGTTGTTTTAAGCTACCAAATGTGTTATGCAGCAACAGATAACTGGTGAAAATAAACGAACACGAAAATAGTAGAGCTGACTCATCTATTCCTAATACAAACTCATCAATCACATATGGCAAATAAAAATAAAAATCAAAAAAGATAATTTACCCAGACTTGGTAAGAAATGAACTAAAGAAATACAAACTGTATCAGTTTATCAGAAATAGAGATTTGTAACCATTACTATAAAGAGGAACCTCCCCATGTACACAGGGTTCTTGGAGATATTTGGTAACAACACTATGAAGCTAATATAAGTAATAAGACATTTAAAAATCTCTCGAAGACTTTATTTCTATTTTTAGTCTTTGCTTCATAACGTAAAATACAAGTATCTCTTACTATTAAAATTGATTTGGTTCCTCAGAAAGCAAGGGCTTCCTGAATATTAATAGAATAGCAAATGAATGGATATAATTTATAAATAAATTTACTTGTATATTGGGGAGGTTTACTCAAAAAATTTTACTACTGTAAAAATGATCAAATACTGATGTGCAAATGTCACCTAGGCATCTTGTTAAAATGCAGACTTTTGATTTAGGAGGTTGGGTGTGAAGCCCAAGACACACTTTCAACAAGTTCTAAGTTGATGATTAGTTTGATCTCAAACGGATGCTGTTCATGTAAAAACCAAACTTAGGTGGCAAGCAACTACAGCTACTGCCTGCCTTCTCAAACTGGGCAAGTCATCATACATACAACAGTAACAGGCAGGAGGTTACATCACAAGATAAAACACAAATATAATCTCATTCTGTATTTTTATTAAATGGAAAGTATTCTTACTTGGTGGGCGTAAACTGGGTCCAGGTCCATAGTTGTCATCATTTGCTTCTTTTTCTTTTTTTTCCTGATCCCCAGCTGCCTGCAGGCTGGGAAATTCTTGCTGAAAATGACTATTCACCTGGATTCCTACAGATTTTTTTTTTAGAAAAACATTACATGTAACTTTTATCCTGAAGATAATTCAAAAACCCTCCCAGGATAGAGTTCTCTGCCCTTTTTTTCATAATTTATTCCACATTTCAATGGTGACTGTTCATATCCATAAAGCTTTTAGATTTATCTAGCATTAGAATCCCCTAGAAAGTTAATGAATAGCCATGAGGAGATAAAAATCTAAGAAAGTAATCTGCCAGACACTGTTCCAGAGGACTTACTAAAGATGAGGCAAATGAGGAAGTTTCAATTCTGTTTCTCTTTTATTATGACTTCTTTCATTTTCAATACAAGTTAAATTCCTGCGCTAATAAATAACTCTAAGAATCAGTCCAAACGGCATGACTAGAATAGTGTATGAGTCAACACAAGCATCATGGTGAGGCTAAAATGCTTTCATTCAATTCACTGCTGAGATGCTCACTGCACCTCGCTATTCACTCATTCACCTATCTACCTTCCTGCCTGCCTATTTATTTTTGTATTTCCATAAATTAAAAGAGCTGACTTTATTCGCTTGAGGGCCTAGACAGGTTTCTCCATACAACATTCTATAGACGTGTTTTGCAAGTGGAAGAATTAAATTCTGTTGAGTCCAACCTTCCTTGTGGGGAGGGAAGTGTTACAGCTACTGTGCTTTGTGGCCACTCTAGCTCTTCCCTACCATGGAAATCATGAGCAGCATGCTTGAAAGAGAAGAGGTTTGGGGGCACAGATGGAGATAAGTATGGCTGCTAGCAAACCACATAAAGTCTGGGTAGTTTTAGATCTCAGAGCTTAAATATACGGTTTTGTCTGGTCATGTAGGTTAAAGATAAAATAATGTGGGGCAGAAGGTATCTTAAAGACTCCTTTAATCCCTATTATTGGCTCATACGTGACTCTTGACACTCAAACTTAACTACCACAAGAGTTTTGTTTTTTTTTAAAGATCCTCTTACAGGGCCTGAGTGTATCTTTTGACATTTTTCTCTGCCCCTGCCAAAACACTGTAATCTATCCTTTATCTCCTGCATGGCTGTTTAGTAACTATCAAGCCTAACCACTCTTCCCAGCTAATGTCCACTTACCATCTCCTTGCCCACCTTGCTTGTTACTGGCCCATGATTTGGGAGCAGGTGCTACTTCTGGGGGAGCTGCAACCCCAGGTTTTGGTTGTGCTGGTGGAACTTCTGGTGTTCTTAAAAAAATATGAATCCATTATTTCAGATATTGTATATTTGAATAAAATAAATATTACATTTAAGCTGAATTTGCATACAAACTGCCTTGGTTATCTATTTCCTTATAGATGCCCCTCTCCAAGTTTTCCCTATGCAGCATTCCTTTACATAAAATACAGCTATTTTTGTCCCCTTTCATTTCTACCCTTGAATAACCTAAGGAGAAAAAGAAAAGGAAAGAGAAAGAAAGAAGAAGGAAGGAAGGAAGGAAGGAAGGAAGAAAGAAAGAAAGAGAGAGGAGGGAGGGAGAAAGGAAGGAAAGAAGGAAAGAAGGAAGGAAGGAAGGAAGGAAGGAAGAGAGAAAAAGAGAGAAAGGAAGGAAGGAGAGACTCATTATTGCACATAGCTACCAAAAAATGTTTTTGAAGAAGTGAATATTTAAAATTAGAAATAATACTATAGGCATACATACAGTCCGGACTGGTGGAATTAGCTGGGGGCTAAGAAAGTTCTCCACTTGGCAGTCAACAGGTTCACCACTGTACTTACTATTACTGTTAATCAAGAGGTAAAAGTAACCTGCCTGATGCATCCCTATGAGTAAAACGTATTTTTAAAGGGTCTACAATTTTATTCAGGCCTTGTAATGAGTTAAGGCTTAAAAATGAATAAGAAAGTTAAGAGACTTAAGAAATGTAATATATTTCTGGTATACTCAGGCCTGAAACTGACTTGCTACTACAAAATAATTATTTGACAACTAAGAAGCAGAGAACAGTAAGTTTTTATCCAAGTAGTCAAATTTATTGTCTAAAGCTCCCCAAACCAGAATACAGAAATTTAGTAACAGATATGGGCAAAACGCATCAAGTACCCATGTGCTTGTCTTTTATTTTTAAAAATTACCAGTACTTAGCTTGGTCATTCAATAAACCAGGAGCCCTGAATAATCCCTGCCACACAGAATGCTAAATATTTATTTTACACATGATGATTAAGAGACATTACTAATTTCATGCTCACTTTCTTGCTAATTCTTTATTCATTCAAATAATATACTTGAGTACCTATGATGTGCATTGGGCATAGTTTTGATGAATCAGGTAGACAGAAATTCTTAGTTTCATGAAAACTGTTTAACAGAATCAAGACTTAATCATTTTAGAAAGAGAATGTCTGATGTGGTAAAGATGAGAGAGGAGGGAGCCTGACAGAGTATGACATAGGAAAAGCAGTGATTAGCAATTTTGTCATCTGCTCTACCTTGACACATGAAAATAATGCCGCTAAGCCCACTCACAGGAGAAATTACACAAACACTGACTACATAAAACCCCTTGAAGGGCATGAAATATATAATACACATAGCACAACACCTAGCACATGGAAGGAATTCAGCCTTAGGTTCCTACAAAGAAAGGGGAATGGTTCCATTCTTTAGTAGATTTTGACTTACTTTTCTTCTTCATGCTGCTCTTGTTTTGATGCCCATCCTGTGCCATCTTTAGGTACAATGTTCACATTAGGATCATTGCCTTTGTTTTCTGCTTTGAGACTTGGGAGATTAGCAGGTGGAGGCATACGCCGTGAAATACCGACTTTTCCAAGACTCTGTAATCCATGCCGAGCTGCAACTAAAGATCAATAACATCAACTTTCTTCAAACATCTATTTTTATTATCTATCTTTTTCTTAAAACAAAATAGGGAAACAACAGGAATTAATGGGATCTTGAATTATTATTTCCTTATATTTTAAGGTAAAAAAATTTAAAACTAAGCTGCATAATTGTAGCATAACCCAATGCAGAGGGGGAGGGTATAGCTCAAGTGGTAGAGTGCATGCTTAGCATGCACAAAGTCCTAAGTTCAATCCCCAGTACCTCCTCTAAAAAATAAACTAAGTAAACCTAATTAACCCCTAAAAATAAAATACAATAGTTTTAAAAAGGGGAAAAAGTATGTGTATATATATATATACACACATACATACACACACATATGTATATATATTAAAAAATACCAAAGCAGAAATTATATTAAATATAATTATATTAAATTTAACCATTAAGCCACTGAACAGGTGTTTAAAAATTGTAACAATTCAACCAATGAAACACTAGAAAACTATACACTACAAAAAAGGAAAACATGACAACGCTGGTTTTGTAATTTTTTCAAGGAATCAATTTTAAACTCAACACTTCGTATATTAGAGAAAATGCTGCCTTTATATATATAATGAACACTGCTAATGCACCACACATTAGCATACATACATGGTTCAGTTTTCACCCTTCACTGTAAACACTGGGCTCAAAGAATAAAAAACACAATAAAACACCACACCACAGGACTCTCTATTCCACAACTAAAGGTGGTAGAATAAACCCACTAATGTAAAGCTTTATGCCTATTAATCTCATTGAACAAGCTTCCCTTTGGAACCACATAGTTCTACTTATTTTCTGCTGACAAACAGGGAAAAATAAACACATTTAAAAAATAATTATAGATCTTCAGTTTAAAAATACTAATTCATATCCACTGAAAAGATATGCATGTACACAAAAAGAACAATGTAAGTAGGGCAGCGTTAACATACGTTTGCCTGAACTCGCGACAGCAATAGCTCTAGTGTGCCATTTACAGTAATAAAACAAAACCATGACAACTATCAAAAACATAAATGCCACTTGATTTTACTCACCTGTGGTTTTCTGAGTTTCTAATGATTTACCCTTGTAAGTATTAAATAAACTGAGTGTCGCATACTTTTTCCCATCCTTTGCTTTTGTGCTCTGGCCTGACTTCTCCGACATTTCGGTGGAAACTCATCGAGTCCGGAACCTCCTGCCACACTCCTTAAAAGCGGTCTTTCAGATGCACATAAGAAAGAAAAATGAGGAAAATTTTAGAATTAGCTTACAAAAGCTCTTATTAATGCACATGTTCACAGAAATTCTGAAAAATAAAAACACTTGAGAAACGAAATCAATCTTCAATAACTCATATCAATAATTTCATTGACCCATTTAATACTGTAAAATTCCAACAGCCAACATGTGACAAAATTAGTGAAAACAAACTGCCATGTACTTGGTGAGTATATTATTTATGGCTTGTAACCACTTAACTATACTATAGAGAATAGGGGTTTTATTCCATACTGAGATGAACAGTTCAAATATAGAGAATTTATGGAGATTGTCTATTTAATAAACAAATATTCAATTTAATAGGCTCGAGATGACTGGCATTGTCACTTACACACATAGAATCCAAACACAACAGAAGGATAACACCATTTCCCTATGAATTACATGACTGTGTTTTCGGGCAGTACGTGTCTAACAAAGTTCTATTAATTTAACAGTTTAGAATAGAAAGAACATTCTATTTTCTCTGCATTCTACAAAGGATAGAACATTTCCTCACAAACCCAGGTATAGAAAAACTATTCTATTTCATGGCTATGAAGTAAGTGTTTGAGAAATGATGTACACTTGTCAAAACAAGTCTCTGTGTATATGAGAAGTTATTAGAAGTAAATAGTATTTTAATGAATATTCATACACAGAATTTTCATTTTCTGAACTAATGTATCCTAATTAAAAATTAGTCTATTAATAAACAGGGAAAAAACAAATTCTCATTCTACTTCCCTTTAATTTAATGAGGTTTATACATATTATCAACCATAGGAGGCTTTTTTGGGGGTGGGGGTTGAGGGTGTAAGTAGGGCAAGAGGTGTCGAATTCTATCAAGGAAACATAGCTAAAAGCACTGAGAACTGATGCATGGGAGCTGAAGACAGTACACAACAGTATATGATGCAAAAAACACTCAAAGTCAAGGAACTGCAGAATCAGCATCACACACAGAGATGTAATTTTATATTCATACCAACTGTGACATAGTATTTATGTAGTTCCTTAAAATTTACCAGTAATTTCCACATCTATTATCTCAGTTTGGTGTAACAATCTTATGATCTAGTTAGTATCCTGATTTTACAGATGAAGAAACTGATGTTCAGAGGTTAAGTGAGATTGGATTTGAAACCAAGGCTTCTGGGTCAGTCCATTTAAACCATGCAGCCACCTCCCCCATGTAACTGTAACCACTTAGTTTCTTATAAGTGTCTACTTGGAGACGCTATCTTTCCTCAAAATAAACTGAAAAGACTGACTTGCAACCAAAAGAACTAAATTAATACATAAATAATCGTATGTGGAAGAATGCATATAATTAATTATCTCCCAAGGGTGCTAATAATGATGATGGTGTGAGAGCTATACTTCAAGAATCTATCCTGTTGATTTATTTTCACCAATAATGTGGACAAAGACAAACAGGAAGAATATTCATCAACTGGTAAAAGAAGACAGTGAATAGTCACTAGATGACAAAACTAAGATTCAAGGGGTTCTTTCTTCAGGTGAAAAAAAGTAACTGATGTATGCATCATCTAGAAACTTGTTAGAAATGCAAGTTCTCAGGCTCCAACCCAGACCTACTGAATCAAACTCTTGAGGATATGGCCCAGCACTGTGCTTTAGCAAGTCCTCCAGGTCATTCTAAGACATACAAAAGTTTAAGACCCACTGACTCACTAAAGGCAGACATATGCGAAGCAGTGATCCTTAACCCTTGCTGCACATTAGAATTACCCGAGAACTTAAAATACACCAGTTTTGGGGGTCTGATCATCGACCTTTATTTTGAAAATGCTCCTCAGGCAATCCTAATACGCAAGTAGTCTTTAGAGTCACTGCAATAAAGGAAGTGTATCTTTTCTCCCATTCCATTAAGGCCAGTCCTTCCTTCTGTGCTACCCATCCCCGTCCTCACTTTCTTTCTCATTCTAAATTCTTCTCTGTAGGGAATCTCGTCCACTTCTATGGATTCAACTACCAACTGATCACGCCAAACTTATAACTCCAGCCCAGAACTCTGTGTTCCTGAAGAATATATCCTGTTGCCTATTTACATTTATTCTTTGTTTTGAGGAAGGTTTCAACTTTACTGAGAACACAGGCATTTATTTCACATTAAGGGTTTTAGAACCAAACCTACAAAATATTCATATAGCATGAGAGAAAGAGGACAGTTAGAAATACTAAGTTTAGAGTCAACAGGGAAAATATCTCAATATTTGACAAAATGTTATATAAGAACTCAACAAACCGAAGGAAAAAACTTGAAACTCAAACTGATGCTATGAACAGACAATCGACTAGAGATAAAATACCACTAAGCAAATATATTAAAATGTTCAATTTTATAAGTAAACAAAAATTAAAATAACAAGATAGGGCGGTTCAACTTGTTCATGTTTACACAAGGAAAACAAAGCAACATAACACAATTTAACCACAGGGTGACAGAATATCTAATTCAATTCTAGCCATCACAAAACCTTAGAGCCTGGAAAAAATAAGAAATTGAACCTGAATTTTCCTACTTAAAAGTAAAATAAAACCAAGAAATTTCCTATAAACTATAGGGAATTTCCAAATGCAAAAAAAGAACAAGAAAAGTTCCTGAAAATATATAGTAAAACTCATGTTTGGTTTTTTTTTTTTTTTTGGAGGGGGAAGGCAATTAGGTTTAATTATTTATTTATTTGTAAGTGTAGGTACTGGGGATTGAAACCAGGACCTCATGCGTGCTAAGCACACACTCTACCACTAGGGCTGTATCTTCCCGGAGTAGTAAGGTTCAAAATTTTGTAGGAAGTTTCTCCTTCCGCTATTATTAGTAAACCACTGTATGCCCTTCAATACATGCTCTTTCACCAAAGAACAAGTAAACAAAATACATACTGAGTGTACTCTAAAGTGAGAAAGATGCACAAAGAATCAGCTTCTTGGCCACTAGAAGAGAGTAAGTTTAGGCTATCATATGCTTATGAGCCTCTCCATGTATAAAACCTAAGGCTTTATAGTACCTACTAAACAAAACAAACAAAAAAAGTAAATCATAAATGCACATGATTGAAGCTAGTGTTAAATGACCTCAAAGATAATTCAATCAAAAGAACAAACTATCACAATGTACCTATTTCTATAAAAGAATATGCATTTCTAAAGGCAAAGAATATGCAGCCATAATAAGACTGGATAAATGAGAAAGGCCAATTACACCATAATGGTTTGCCAGTTAAGTGTGGGCACTTTCAGTTTAAAGTCATAGTTTAATTTAGCCTATTTGCTTTTCCGTGCGTTGCTTCCAAAAGGCTTGGGAGATCCTCTGAAATTCTCAATTAAGTTAAAACTTCATTCAACACACAGTTGAGAGAAAAATCAGTGACTTGTTTAAAAATTAAGATCACTTTTAGGACAAAGTATCAAAAGAATCCAATCAATCCAGAATAAGCACCATCAAGACAATTTAGCTTCACTTAGTATACTTTATTTAAAAATATATTTTAAAACGTAATTCCTGTTTGGATGCCTGAAATGAATTAAAGAATCACAGCTAAGAATTTTCTAAGAAAGTAATGATCAAGCACAATAGGTTTACAATTTCAGCCAACATGAAGTTAACAGAGATGAGATCTACCTTCCCTACTAAAACAACTCAACTCAAAAACTGGACTTATATGTGTGTGTGTCTATGTAGTGTGTTATTACATGTGTATATAATATATATATTATGTATATATATACATTTGTAATACATATTGTCCAGTGTATGTAACGGTGTGTGTGTCTGTATAATCTTACATATATACATAAAGCAAGAGCTTAAGACACTGACTATCAAGTAAGGAAGAACAATGATTCTTACAGGAAACAAAAGAAGCGAGCCCTATAGTTTCCTGGCTTACTGCCTGGAGAGCTCCCAGCTCATGGCACTGAGAAGGGAACTCAGAAGAGAACTCCTGGGAGACTCCCTAAAGTTGAAAAAAATGAAACTGAGCACTCAGCGTGATCAAGGTAGCTAAGATGCAATACTGGAAAGAAGAGATGTATACAAAGAGAATGCTACAGATCTGCAGAGGATCCGATCCCCCTTGAGTATTCAGCAGAGCATAAATATGTACATGTGTGTGAGGAAAAGACCCAAAGCCAGGAAAGAACCATCTGAAATAATCAGAAGGCAACAGTGCCTGTTGCTCAGGAAGGGCTGGGAATAGTGCCTAGTATCGTCAGCTAGACTTTAAATCACACTGTTTCTGTTAAGTCCCAAATAAATTTAAAGAATATTTATTTTAAAAAATGAAAAAATACCCAGCACCCAAAGAAGGCAAAATCTATACTGAGGCATTCATTTAAAAACTCACGCAGGCAAAGAGGCAGGAAATTACGAACCGTATTAAAGAGAAGAATCAACTGAACCCAACTCAGCTGACTCAGATACTAGAATTAGCATAAAAAAGACAGCAGAATTCTCGTTGGAAACCAAGCAAGTGAAAAAATGCTGCAGCCACACGCTTAAACTATTGAAATAACTGATAACCCTAGAATTCTATAGCCATAAAGAGTATCTTTCAAAAATGACTAACAAAAAAAGGTTTCTCAGACATAAGGTGAAATAACTCATCATTAGCAGAGTTACACTAAAAGAAATGTTAAAAGTCCTTCAAACAGGAAAAAAAAAAAAGACATCATACTGAAGTCTGGATCTACAGGAAAAAAATGAACAGCACCAGAAATGGAACTAGGTGAATAATGTGTGAAAAAAATTATTTAAATATCTTAATCCTAGGAATGCAAGGTGATTTAACATTCAAAAGTCAATCAATGCATTTCACCACATATTAAACTAAAGAAACACACGATTATCTCAGTAGATGCAGAAAAAGCATCTGACAAAAAATATCCATTCCTGATAAACTCTCAGTAAACTAGGGCTCAGCCTGATAAAGGGCATCT